TTTGTCGTGTGTACGTGTGCGTATATATATATATATATATAGATATATATATATATATGTTACTTGAATGACATCATCACAAGCAGCTAGTACCGCATAACTCAGACCTGTCTGACAAGGGCTGATTCGATACAGTGCGTAGAGGATTGTCAGCGTGAGTTCAACGTTGAGCTCAACGCATACCTGTTCGCGGGTTGTAGCTGTTCTGTTTGCAAAATCCGGGGTCGATTACGTATATAATACCTGCGAAACAAAGTGGCGAACAAGTAACCTGTCAGAAACATTGAGCCACAAACGAATCATGCCGTTTTTGAGAAGAATCATCTCTGATTATCATGTGAATGACGTAACCGGGCACTTGCCTTTGATCTGTACAATACCATGATACACACAAAGTGTAGAAAGGGAGGACTAAATTAGTAGAAAAGGCAGCAAAGTAGTTCTGGTGTCCAACTCAAAGACCGCTGCAGTACATTGTAAACACTATATACATATATATATATATCCGTATACATACTCTCACGAATGAAAATTAATACAATTAACAATTTCGTATACATACCATCAATTGTCAATGATGTCTCTGCAATATTGGTTGCTATGACAACCTTCCTCGCTCCCTCCGGGGTGGGTTCGAATATTTTAGCCTGCATATCCGGTGGTAGAGATGCATATATGGGTAGCACTAGTAGTTCACCTATAGTATATAATGCATCAAAAAGTAGAGATTATGAGACAGTTTGGAGTGTCACAACGTGCTTCGATACAAGGGTTGTGGCTGTGAGCTCTGTCTTCGATAGCTCGGATAAGATGTGGCTGTGAACTTTGTCGCCGATAGCCCTGATAACTTTCATTGTATGCTTGTATGTGCATATCAAGAATAAAGCGCACTAGTTATGGAAGATAACACTAGAAGGACAGATATCAACCGACTATAGCAACATGTGCTCTTCAATGTGGCTCATACCCTAACACATGGGAGACTCGCAACACTGCAATGGCAAACACGCACCAAATCCCAGACGAACATAACAATATCCCATTCCCACCCATGTTATTCCTATTTACCATAAATCTCACTCCCTCCCTCCTTATACCTACCTATCCTCTAGCTTCCTACACGGTACTATTTCACAAAAATCGAAAGGACATCCCACACCCATGCTATACATATTTACCGTAGATCTAAATCCCTAACGCCTTATATCCACCTATCCTTAATCCTAGCATACTTATCAAAAACAGATACAACTGCCCAACACCTCTATCCTCGATCCTAGCACAACAGACTTTACTCCCTCACACCCATCGTTTCCCTACTTATCCTTGATCCTATCTTTCTACCCAAAAGAGATACTACTCACTCCCTACCCAAAAGAGATACTACTCACTCCCTACCCAAAAGAGATACTTCTCACTCTCACTTTGTACCCACCTATCCTTGATCCTAGCATAACATACCTTACTCCCTCCCCAATTATACCTAAGTATCCTTGACTTTAGCAGGTCAGATTTTACTCCCTCCCACTTTATACCTACCTATCCTTGATCCTAGCAAAAACAGATTTTACTCCCTCCCACTTTATACCTACCTACCCCTGATCTTAGCATAACAGATCTTACTCTCTCCCACTTTATACTCACCTATCCTTGATCCAAGCTTCCTACATCGTTCGGTCAACGCCTCGGCACACGCCTCGATGTCGTCTTGACCGGTTAAGAACACGAGGACGTCCCCTTTCGGTTGGGTGAGATGTATCTGTAGCACTGTTACTACTGCGGCATCCAGGTAATCCGCCTGCGTGAGCAATATTGGTAGGGAGGACACATACTTCAGTATGTGTAGGTATGGGTATCATATGCATTGCGCGAGAGATTCATAGGATAAAATGGGATAATATGTTGTTATGTTGCTGTGTGAAGATGAAACATAGCCATATATATATATATATATATATCTTACCTCTGGTTGTTTTGTGTAGAACACATCCACCGGGAACCGTCGTCCGGGGATGTTGAATATTGGTGCGTCGTCAAAGTATTCGCTGAATTTTTCCGCTTGCAGCGTTGCCGATGATACGAGTATGCGGATATCTGGTCGAAACCTGGCTATATCCTGAACAGATGTTTGTGTGTTTAAGGTCTTAGAAAATGTACAGATATAACTAGGCGTACGCATACATTGGAGTGGCTACACAGCTGGCACGAAGGAAAAAAGAGCATATGAATATCCCATGCCTATCTACAGTAAGAGATGAATATCTCAGCATGCCACGGTGGTGATTTGGTTCCTATGCATGTAATCCATCGAACACATGCCAGCATAGGCCCACAAACATACACACCCACACAAACACGCACACAAAAGGCAGACCCGAAATTTACGCGTCTAGACGGACACATTTGCAAGTGCAAGTTAGAATGCAGATATCCAGCTCTCCTTTGGTGATGCATGGGTAAGCACCTACTTTAATCAGCCCAAACAGTACGTCGGTGTGCAGTGTCCGCTCATGGGCCTCGTCAATCATCATCACACTGTAAGACGCTAAATCGGGTTCTGTGAAATGTGAAATCGGGTTGAAAGCACGGGCATGATGAAGATGAGCCATTTCATGACAGAATTAATGGGCGATATTTAATACCGCAACCAATATCTTACCGTAAGACGCTAAATCGCGTTCTGTGAAATTAGCATTGGGAGCATGGGCACGATGAAGATAAGCCATTTCAAAACCAAATTAAAGAGTAAAAATGTATAATCGCAACAAATACCACACTGTAAGACGCTACGTTGGTTTATGAAAATGAGAAATCGGGATTCGAGGAAACGGCCACGATGGAAAATAAATCATGTCAAGATTGAATAAATGATTAGATATTCACAATCGCAATCGATATCATACTATAAG